CGCAGCCCAGAGAGAGAGCGATCAGCCAAAATAAGGGCAAACGCTGATCGCAACCCAGAGAGAAAGCGATCAGCAAACAAGCTAGTGAAAGTGAGAAGCGCCTGTAGCCGCTTGTTAGCATAAGCTACAGAGGAAGTGTAACGCTGCGAGCTGCAGCCGCTCGTGCCGTTTAGGCGCGAAATTCAAACAGCTGTCAGCTGAAGCACATTCAAATACAACACAGCGTTGTATTACGAAATCGCTAACGCCCACACAGGCGCGAATTTCAAAAGACGCTGCCAACGACCGTGCAGTCTAAATACCTTCTGATCCCCAGAGAGAGAGAAGGGAATTGCGAAATTTCCCCAGAGCTGAAGTCACTTGCCTAGCACAGGCACTAAACCTCTACTGCTACCCCAGAGAGAGAGAGCACTTGCCTAGCACAGGCACTAAACCTCTACTGCTACCCAGAGAGAGAGCATTTTCCCCAACAGGTTAACCAGTAGACCCACAACATGAACTCCAATCCAGCCTTCCCAGCGTTCAAGCCGGATGAGGAGAAGTGGGAATCATACAAGAATCGGTTTAATCATTACATCGACGCCATTGGATTGGCTGATGCAGGGGAACACCGAAAGAAAGCATATTTCCTGACCTACTGTGGAGCCATCGTCTTCGATACGCCACAGCTCTTGTGGCTCCACGTGAGTTAAAGAATGTCCCCTGGACAGAACTGTTAGAAATCCTTACTAACCACTATTCTCCTAGACCTTCACAGATTGCCAGACGCTTCACCTTCAGAATGAGGAAGCAGGGGGACAAAGAGAGCATCAATCAGTACATGGCTGCTCTCAGGACTGCAGCACTCCATTGTGGGTTTGGCAGCTATCTTGATGACATGCTCCTAGACCAGCTGGTCTGCGGGGTCAAGGACCTGCACCTACAAAGACGGCTGCTCGCCAAAAAAGACCTTAAACTCGCTCAAGCCATCGAGGAAGCCCTGGCAGAGGAGCTGGCATCTCATTCAGCCACCGAGATCCAAGGTCCTGTCACCAAGCAAACGGCAGTTCCCGTCCACTCAGAAGAGGTGGTCAACGAGGAAGACCCAAGTGACGAGGCCGACATTCACCGCCTCACAAACGCCAGGCGCCCGCAGGCAGGAACCAGACAAGATAACACCGGGCCATCCAAGCACATCACCCTGTGCCTTTCCTGTGGTGGACCTCACCTGAGGATCACATGCAAATTCAAAGGAGCCACTTGCAACAACTGCCATAAGAAGGGGCACATTGCAAGAGTATGCCAAGCCTCACACAACGTAGCACAAAGGGCATCTTCATTCGCACATGCCGGGCCCCAAAGGCAAGTATTAAACTGTCGCACACACCTCTGCGCTAATCACACTTGCTATTCTATTAGTAAAATCTCTCTTTCCGTCTTATTAGAAGGTAAACCTTGCAACATGGAGGTTGACACGGGGTCAGCGCTCTCCATTATTTCCTGGAACACCCTCAAGGAGCTTCAACCCAGCCTATCAAGAAACCGACTCCAGAAGTGCCAGCTTAGCCTAAAGGACTACCAGGGGAAGACCATTCCTGTAATCGGCAGAGGCAAGTTTTTTGTTA